GAGTCCAACAATCATAAATGTTATTATGTCACCCGTTTAGTGCCTTATTCGGGCGCATTTTCAGAAAGCGTAACTCCAACTGAAGTCTGTAAGACAGCTCAGGTCCTCTGCACTCAGCTCTTTAGCCTCGGCATGCGTACTATGTGGGTGCCATAAAATAACAGGGAGCACAGGGCATCTATAACAAGAGCGTGTGGTAAAAATAAACTGCCAACATGTGTGGACCGAGAGGAATGCAGGAGTAGATTCCCTCAACGCAGTGAGCGAGACGGGAGGTCAGATATATTCACTGTACGTTGTGTTTGGGACGTGCATGAGCGAAGTCAGTCTCATTGGACAGAAGGAAACTGGCGCTGAATGTCTTGTAATGTTTTATACTCGTACTTTTTGGATAGAGTGCATAGTGGGGGTTGGTGTTGGGTCAGAGAGTGTTTAGGCCTGTGTGTGTGCGTACCTTTCTACTGTTGCTTTTTGTTGTGTGTTTGGATGCAATTTTTTGTGTTGTACTTAAAACAATAAATAGAAATGTTGATTGAGTTTCATACGCAGAGTGGCTGGGCGATCCCTTAGAAATGGTGCTAGGGGAGCTCGGAGTAGAGCCCCTGCTTTTCCACGTCAAGAGGTACCAATTGAAGTGACTTGGGCATCTGTTTTGGAGAGCCCAGGGGAGACCCAGGACGCATTGAAGGGACTATGTCTCTCAGCTGGCCTGGGAACGCCTCAGGATTCCCCCGGATGAGCTGGAGGAAGCGTATGAATCGGGGAGTCTGGTGGTCTCTGCACAGGCTGCTGCACCCGCAACCAGGCAAGGGATAAAGCGGAAGAATATTAATGAATTGTGAGTTTTAGTTGCAAAGGTAGTTCTATTTGAGTCTTGTTGGACATTTGGTGAGACTTGCCAAGGAGGAAAGTTGTTGAACTTGAGTGAAGGTCACTTGCCAGCAGAAGTCATGTCTTCCCCTAAAAATAAATAGAATAAAGTAACTTAATACAAAAAGCAATCTGACTGAGAGCTTTACAACCACAAAAAAGGGATTAGGCCCACTCTTTTTTTGTTTGCATGTTTAAATGTTAGTGTATTTCTAAACCACTGCAGCTAAGAAAAACTCCCAGTGGACACAGGGAATAGTTTGAAGGAAGAAACCTGACCCAATCCTGGTCCCTCTGTCAGTACCTTTAATTACGAGGTGACAAGGCCTTAGGGATCTTTGATGTTCACTTGACAACAGGGGCCTTTCTCTGCGACGCTCGGGCTGAGGAATCCACCGGAGTGAGAGGTCTAATGTCGGACAAGCACCACACGCACACAGAGAACATGCAAAGGCCCCGTACTTATGTGTCAGTATAGCAGGGGAGCCAAAATACCTTTTATAATGCAAAATAATATAAAAAACTATACACTAAAACACTTATTATTAACTTACGGCCCACAAGCAGTTTTTATTTTCTAATTCAGAAGGACGCAGCCAAGAAATTTGCATGACCAAACTCCGGCAGAAGCTGCATCCACAGCTTTGCATGGTTTTGTTTGGACAAAGGGGTAGAATTTCTCCTCCGTGTAGCGCTCGAAGCTCACAAAGCATTGGTTGCTCTGCCGCCATTGTTGTTTACGTTTGTTCTACTTGGCATGTTCCAATGTGTGGGGGGAGCGGTGAAGTCATCGCCGCCAGAGAGTTCACACCTTTCTCTTTTTCTGCGGTACGTCTGCCCGCCGAACATTAAACTCCATCGTCTTACTGTCACAGCGTCTAGGTGTAAACAAGGCCTCAGCTTCCGACCTGGGTTAGGATTCCAAACAATTAGAACACAGGAATTGCAATGTTTTATACAAATTTGGTGTCATTGGTAAAGTTGACGTTTTTTCATAAACATTATTATTACAGCCTGCACAAAAATCAAAGGATCAAAATCAGAATCAAATCAAGAATCAAACCAGATTCATATCAAGACTGAGGCTGATTACCGTACTTTATATGAGGCCAACATAACCTTGCATGGGTCCATACAAAGTCAGCATATACTATCATAGTTCCTGCTCCACTGTTTGAGAACCACTGGCTATAGAATGTGGCTGAACACAATGATATTTGCACAGTATAAGAACAGGCTGACAATGCCACCGTAAATGATTACACTAAATCAAAGTGCAATTCACACACGCACACATACACACACACACACACACACAACTTTATCTTTATGGGCTCCTGCGACTCCGGACACTGCCTGTTTTGTGTTCACATGCAGGACTGGCCGCACAAGTAGCTTATCTTAAATGCTCTTTCTAACATGCTATAATGGCGATCAATAGGACCCGAGACATGACGTCGGCCGGGCTCTGTAGCGATTCAAAGGGGAAGCTTGCATTCCTGAAAAAAAGGCAAAGGTTACAAAGGGAGTGTAAAGGGGAGTGCCTGCAGTGTGTGTGAATGCACTGTGCTGGTGTGTGGCCAGAGGGAAACAGAAACCAATGGAAGACAAAGCAAACTTTAAATGCAATAATTGTGTTTATGCTACAGGGATGGGCCTATTGTAGCGTATAGACAGAGGTGGGTCGTGAAAAACATGTTCTATGGATTACTCAATAGCCTACTACTACTTGTACTACTACTAGAAAGATAGATATGTGTTTGACGTAACATCTGATTTGTAGTTAATGTAATCAGAAGGACCTGTCATGCACAAAAACCACACAAATGAGACATACAAAATTGTCTGGAGGCTTGCTCCAAGAAATGCTATTTGAATAATTGTATATAGTTGTCACAAACTATGCTTACTTTTGAACATCAATGTTCTATAACAAAACATTACTCAAGAAGAAGAACAAATGTGTATATGTTTGTTCTATGTTATGTGTTCTAACTTTATGTAACTGTAAGTAAATGTAACAATATCTATTCACATTAAGTCTTTCTGCAATATATTACACAAAGCCAATGTGTTTTTTCATCCATTTTAAATAGATTAAAGCTTGGAAATCTAACTTTAAATTCACAAACATGAAACTACATAATCTGACACTAGTTCAAACAGGTTGGTTCAATCACTAGTTTTAGTATTTTAGGCTTCTGACACAGCTTGAGATACACTTTTTCACACAGAAAAGTGAAAACGAGTTCAGCCAATCAGCTCTCAGCCCAAAGTGTCAAATAGTAACTCCTTGGGCTCCTTACAAGTATGCAAAATGTTTAGTCTGATTTGTTCTCTCTCTAGGGGCAAACAACATATTATATATATAATGAGTTACCCCCGGTATATTTGATAATATTAATACAAACTCAATCCTAAGTCTTGAGAGTACACTGATCATTTGCATAGGTATTTTGTTTGTTTAACATCTTTGCTGTCAAAGCTGTTAAACATACATCAGACGTGTCTCTTCTGCTCCGTTAGACGTTCTGGACTCATGCGGCGAGAACATGTTCAGTGAACCCTGATGCGGAGCTGTGAGCAGCAGCATGTGACTGCAACTGTGGTCAGAACCAAGGCAACCCGAGGCAACCAGAGGCCGTGGGGTTATGTCAGAAATACAAACAATGGATTTAAGATCAGGGATTTTGGGGAAATGCGGCTAGTTATGGGTTGCGTTCATGTGACATCACAACACTCCTGAGCCTATTTCAAATTCTAGTGAACATCTATGGTAGCAATGATACATGTCAAAAGTCAGGCCTCTAGTCTTAGTTTATAGATACATTCTATTCTCTTTAATTCCTGGACCAAGCCACTTGAAACAAAAATGACCACAAAAGGGACACATGAATAAATGAATACAACAATCACATTTCCATAAAGATGTATTTGATATAAGTGGTGATGTACATTATTTTGGGCATAGAAAGAAAAATTATATGGAATCCATCAAATACTGATGCCATTTTATTGCCATTGAAGAAACAGGAAGTCATAAACTATGAATTTGTTTTGGCTCATGGTAGAACAAGTTTTACAACGTATAAAATATATATAAAGGCGTGTAAATTACCAGTTTAGATTATGACATGATTGGAGACTTAAATAAACAACACTACAATGTGTTTTCCATGTTTTGACTTTATTTGCATTCTAATCAGCAGTGGAGGGTCATGAGGTGATGTCACACATACTTTGGGGATACCTGAGTGAAAGGTTTGAGGACCCCAGCCCAGTTCTACACACAGCAGCCAATAACACTAGAAAAACATTCAAACTGGAAAGAGGATAGTTTTTGGGCGCTGTGTGAAACGTAGTGGTATAAATATTAAAGATACATTGGGCGGCAGAAAGGGCGACAGTAGCTCAGTTGGTAGAGCATTGGCCTTAAGGCCAGAAGGTCGTGGGTTCAATTCCCACCTCTGCACCTTCTCCATCGACTCCCACTGATGACTGCTGTCGTTGTGTCCTTGGGCAAGACACTTAACCCCACTTTGCCCAAAAGCCCCCACTGAAAGATCAAGGCTATGCTCACACTCAGAGAGCAGCCGCCCTCCTGTGGACTCACCACCTGCAGAGGGTCAGTGAGGGGCTGGTGCTATGAGACTTGGGTGGCATCTCTGACTGCCACCCCCCTGACCCAGAAATGGATTAAAGGGTAGAAAATGGATGGATGGATGGATGGATGGGCGGCAGAATACATTCAGTCCAAATGTTCATTTTCTATAACATGAGTATAATTCACTGCAACAATTGTTAATTTTAGGAGCACAAGGTCTTTTTTGTTAATCTATAAATCACTTCTCATTCTTTCACATTTACAATTACATCTTTTTGTTATGTTGTTGATTCCGCTACAACAGATCATAATGAGCTACAGACCTGCATACAGTCAATGGGGTTCATAGACTAATGTACCAGAGACCACTGAGATTTCAGAAAATCTTTTTCAGGGTTTAAGGTTTCCTGGTCCCAGAGAGACGGGCATAATAATAATAATAATAATAATAATAATGATAATAATGATAAAGCCTTCATACTCATCACTTCAAACCACTTAAATCTCTGCACATGCCCAGAGTTGGTCATGTGAATCCGACCAGGCGGGGCATACTGGGGAAGCTCTTGCGGATGCTCATGCACTTCTCCTGGTCCAGGAACAGGGAGTTGGCTTTGACGGACAGGTCGTGTTCCAGCGTCACTTTGGTCTTCACCAGGTTCTGCAGCGTGTTCTCCGCCTCCATCAGACGCTCCTGCAGCTTGTAAATGGTGTCCTCGATCTCCTTCACTTCAACAACCAGTCTGAGAGAGAAGAGATGTGAGTGGAGTTTAGAGGTGTTCATAGAAAGTTTTACAATGAAACGTATTTGTTTTGCCACTGGCATGGGAAAACCTGATCATGTCAGTTCTCTCATGCTAAGCAGGTTGGTACTGTGATGTGAGACCTCTGGGATCATCGAGTAACACATTGGAGTGGCTGCGTCTAGTGCCAAACTGTTGTTGTGTCCTTAAGCAAGACACTTTACCCACATTGCCATGTGCGTGAATGGTTGGTGGTGGTCGGAGGGGCCGATGGCACACATTGGTTGCCTCCCTTCAGTCAGTTGTCCCCAGAGTAGCTGTGGTTACGGCAGTAGTGTATCATCACCGTGTGTGGAGTGAATGAATAAAGTGTGTCCACAAAGTGCTATATAAAACCAATGCCTTATTGTAATTACTATTTGACATAAAAAAAAAAAAAATAACAGAAGATACAGAAAGGTAAGTGTTGTAAAAAGACAAGTAGAAATGTATGTAATACAAAAAACCAAAACAAAACAAGTGAATTAGCATTGAATTGAATGCCTGAATGACCATTGAATATAGTGAGTGTTTACCTGTGGTGTGGGTTGTCCCGGCACAGCTCCACATTGGGGCGTCTGATCCTCTCCTCCATCCGAGTTTGAGCCACTTTGAGCGGACACTCTTTGTCTCTTAGCGCCTTCTTCAAAGACTCAATCAGCATTTCTGTCTGGAAGATTTCCTGCAGGGTCTGGAGGAGAAACAAAATTACAGCTGTAAAATACAGCCCTTTTGCTGCATTATGGCAGAGCATGCATTTCATGTTTGATACTGGTCACAATAGAATGACTTCTGGAAAATATACACAGGTTTCCTGCTTATCAGAGGACTACGCGTATCTGTCCCACAAAAAAAAAATCCACTGAACAAACACTAACTACAATAGGAGTTTTGTTTGTTCAACATTCAGACTCCCTCATAATTCCAGTTGGCCTTGATTGCAATTTTTATGGCCTATTGTAGACTTTTATATTATTAGATTCATGGAGATTGACTTAAACCCAGTGTAAGCCGAAGTGACATTTGCGCACAGTGACCATCAGCCTGCCATGCTTCTCAACAGTTTCTCTTTTTGTTGAAACACTTCTCATGTTATTCAATTAGGGAAAAAAACTTCCCTTCTGAAACTAGGCTAAAGGAAAACCATGAGCCTCAAATATCAACCGCTGTCAACTTTGCAACCATTCAATCCTGAAATGAGATCATATCTTCTTTGTAATTTTTTCCAACAGTTATGGCATCTATTTTAAGAATCACTTTCTATTTTTGCCTTTTACATTTTGAAGCCAGAATTTAAATCTGTATAGTATTGATGTCATATTAAGTCTCAAACCGGCAACGCACTGACCAATTACGATTGATCTTTTCTCTGGTTACATGTACGCACATCTGATTTACATTGGTTTTGTTTGTAGCTAACAGAGGAAAGAGCATGGCACAAGCGCATGATCTGCTAATAAGTAGAAAATCGAGTTACCACTGATGCAAGAGGAGAGGGATTCTGTCTTTTTTACCAAACAGCATGTGATCTCCCCGCTGTGGAACATTCAGATGAAATGGATTGCGATATTGAGATCTGTACAGTAATGGGCTGAACTATGATAATGCTATTGTGATGAAATACCTCCACAAATGCAATGAAGACATACACTGCAAAAAGTGATCAAATATGAGGTAATGATTGCTTGAATCAAGTGGTTTTTATCGTATTTTGAGTTCATTCTGGCATTCTTTTCTCATTTCAAGGGAGGCACTTGATTATTTTGCTTGTCCCATTGGCAATTAAGGCATAAAAATGTGCTAAAATTAAGATACATTTAGCCAAATTTGATTATTTAAACCTATTTTTCATCACTTTTTGGAGTGTATTTGCCAAACTTTTGACGATCATTGAATCAAGGCCTCCTATTTCCCCCAACTTTCCTATTCAGTTCTCACATGGGGTACCTTTACTGAATGGAGTTTGCATCTCCTCTTTCTCTGAGTTTTCAATGGCACTGCAGTGTTTCTCTCTTTACCAATTGAAAACATGAACAATGGAATAATCTTCCTCTCCAGCTCTTCTGGGCTCTGGTAATGAATCAACTATGGGTGTTCACTGATCCAGCAGCATGGGTTGTAAGAATTGGGCAAAGAATGGCAAATACCTCAGCAAAAGCATCTATAACTTAAAGAAGAAAAAGTTATCTATAACTTAAAGAAGAAAATATAAGCAACAATTTTGCTTTTATAAATTATCATGTACCAATTTAGTATTTACTGTTTTGGATTATGAAATACAGAAGATATAGGGTGGAACAAGTATATGGTAAATAAATTATCCCGTTCTTCAACTCCCTATGCTACCACCAGAGATCCTGGAAATACAATCATGTGTTTGTCCATCCATCCATTTTCTACCCCTTAATCCATTTCTGGGTCAGGGGGGTGGCCAGAGATGCCACCCAGTACACATAGCACCAGCACCTCCCTGATCAATCCTGCAGATGGTGAGTCCACAGAAGGATGGCCGCTCTATGGCATAGCCTTGATCTTTTAGTGGGGGTTTCAGGCAAAGTGGGGTTAAGTGTCTTGCCCAAGGACACAACAACAGCAGTCATCAGTGGGAGTCGGTGGAGAAGATCTCATGGTGGGCTCGAAGTCGAACCCACCACCTTCAGGCTCAAAGGCAGAAGCTCTACTAACTCAGCTACCCCCCATGTGATTGTAAAGAATGTTATTTGACCTGAGAATTTGCCAAATCTAATTCATGTGCAACACTTTTGTTTTAAAGATACAAAAACTGAACTGAGCGTGCTGTCATTCTACAATAAATTACGTTGTCTATTACAGGACTGAGACAAGAGCTTTCAGATAGACGTGACAAAATAATGTTTGTGCCAGAATTTCGATTTCAATTTTGCATATTATATCTCCTTTAAATATAAAATAACCCCACTAATTCCCCTGTGTAATCGTCAACAGAACAGAGCAGTGACAGACCTTGGCCAGGTGCGTCTGCAGACTGCTCTTGGCGTCTGAGGTCTCAGAGATGCGGTTGGTAAACGACACATTGACGTTGTTGAACTGGTTCCACATCTCGTTGGAGGTGGTGTTGAGCAGGATCTCGATCTCGTCTCGTAGTTTGTGCGAGATGGCGCGTTCGCTCTGGGAGTGCAAAATATTGTCATCCGTGAATTTGCTCCAGGTGTCGGGAAGAGAAATTCTAGCAAAGAATATAAAAAAAGTGGATCAAAATACATACATCCAACATCATCAATCAATCAATCAATTAACTTTTTGTTTGTAGATGTATATTTCTATGCATTATTATTCATTGTTATTTCAGACATTAATGAATTGTTCCTTATTTGAAAATAAAAGGAATTTTGAAAGAGATAATGCAATAGGGTATAAACAGTCAGTCCAAGCAGATCTATAGATGCTGTAGCTAAGGAGGTAATTTTACTTTTTAATAGTCAGAGTCGGAAGGATGGCGTTCTCAGACACCTCCAGACGCTCCTTGACACTAAAGTTTTTCATTTTATTTTTCGCTGCAAAAAAATTAAAATGACAGTTCATAAACTTGATTTAAAGCATAATTCGACCTACTGTACAGTATTAATCTACGTTTTATGGGATAGAGGGACACAAGAAGAACATGCACAACTCTCATTGCCAAGAACCCAACCTTCCTATAGCTATGGGATAGATTAACTCAAAAGTGTATAAGCGTATACATTTACTACAGTGCAACCGTCAGTATATGTGATAGTAGATAGATAGACAGATAGATAGATAGACACTTTATTGATCCCCAATAGGAGAAATTCAGGGTAAATCTTTCCTGATTGGTCCATGGTCCTCATCTATGTATGGTTTAAAATTGGGTGGGAAACAATCTACAAGCAGGTTATAATCTGACGTTGGTTACATTCTAGAAAGAAGACATTTTAAAGGTTTTTGGAGAATTACTTGGGTAACTACAGGCCATGGGTTAGCCATAGCCTTTAACTAAAACCTAACTCTATTGTGCTTTACTTTTATATCTATACTTACTGTACAGCATGCATCAGTGCCTCTGAGTGACATGTGAGCATCTATTATATCTATTTGTCTGCTGTCGTGACTGAGCAGAGCATATAGACTCACGACGGGTCCAGTCTCTCGATGCCTCTGTAGTAGCCGATCCCATTAGATGTGTTTCTCAAATGGTGGCATCGGTCGTCGATCCTGTGAGCTGTCACTTTGTCGCTCATGTCTCTCTCCAGTTCATGCTGCGCTGCTCGGTTAGACCTAAAAACTCACACAAAGTAATAAAAGATAACAAACATACAATGGCTGTAGTATCGGTATAATGCTTCTTTATATAACAGAAATTTTAACGTAAGTCTAAATTTCATGTTTACAGTTTTGTAAACAGATCTGATTTTCTGGCAATATTCTATCCTTATTGCTTGCTTTAAAGTGATACACATTATATTTTCCTTAGGTAGTTTGGTGTCCATGGTGTCCAACATCTTCCAAACTCACGCCAATTGTGCCACCGCTCTTTCCAAATGCCTTCTCATCCTCTCCTGGCATGATTTGATCACCTCCACTTCCTGTTGATCCAAATGTGAATAATTTATGCCTCTTTGGATGCGCCACCAAGATCATATTGAGTTTAGTGATCAGACATTACTTTAATTAGGTCTTTCTCCACGTGGTCATGCACTAGATCAATGGCCATCCGCTTCTCTCTGTGGTACAAACACTCTTGAGACACCTATTGACAAAGTGATCATGACTCAAACAAGACCAAATGAAGGACATTGAAGAGTTTCATTCGTTGTCATTCATTATGTATATGTAGCATGGTATCAATAGCATGGGTCCAATTACCGCTCCTTGAGGAACCCCACTGTTACCCAATCTAGATTTAGTGTGATGTCCTTGTTCATCAGCCCATTAGCGCAAAAAGGTTCAATGACCACTGGCGTTTTGAGAGGTGTCTAGGTGACGCTGAGCGAGACTGTTGCTACAAGTTATTTCGTAGTCAAAACATCTTGACTTGAGAGTGGAAACATGATATGGGATAGCTACTGTATGTCTTTGTTGTGCGGCATGACAGACGTTGACAGTGTTGGCGTGTAGTTTACCCTTCCAGTATTACAATCAGTTCTTATAATGAGGTAGCATTTTGTTCTCAAGGTAAAATATGTGCCATGCCAAGGTATTATTTATCAGGCAATATGCTTAGAACTCCTTGGAAATTATTGAAACACTGCCATGTTTTCTAAAAATATACTACAGGATTACAGGTGCTTTGTTTGTTTTTCGATTGGCAACTTTGTCAAGTTGCTTTCCATAATGTGTCCAATGACAATATTGTGCTGTGTTTTCTTCATTCAACAGTAAAAACAAAATCACAACATATTTAGGATCATTCTGCTTCAGAAAATTAGCAATATCTCAGTTGGAAGAAAGAAATATTGTTAAACATTACCAATTGCATGTGCTTATAAACATCACCCGGATCACAGATTTGTTGCCTTGGTTACCTGAAGTGGCCCTGCCGTCTCTGCCAGCGCTCTCTCCAGCCTCCTCTTGACCTCGCTGAGAGCTGCTATCTCCGTCACCATGTTATCGATCTCATGGCTCAGCTCCGACTTCCAGAAGACGATGTCGTTCACCCTCTCTCCCAGATTTTTACTGGTAGTTTCCTGCGTCCTCCGGGTCAGGTGATCCTTATCCTGCATTAATCGAATAGTGTCTTGCCTTAGCCTCTCCGCGCTCTTCCGGGACGATTCCGATTCTCGGTAGTTGCTATAGTTGGATTTATACCAGTCGTCAGGAGTGTATCTTGTCGACAGGGCAGTTCTGTTGGATGGGTAGAACATGGTTTTGGCTCGGACCAGGTCGAGGTTTTCCCGTTGGATGGATAGGGAAGATGGGAGAGTGCCAGTGTTCTTGTAGTAGCTGTTGGTCCTCCACTGGTTGGCACTGTGACTCATGGCCGAAACAGGCTGGATGCCACGGTAACTGGCAGCCATGGTGGAGATGGCGGGCAGGAAGTGGCTGGTTTTTGGCCGGGCGTACGTGGCAGTCAGAGTGGATCCCATCATCTCCATAACTGTCCCTTAGAGAGTTTTGAGTTTGCTGGTTTTAGGAAGAAAATCTATTGTAAGAATGCAAAGAATTTTAGTTTAGACAATTCGCAAACAGTGGGTAGTAAGTAGTAAGTAATCTTTATTTATATACCGCCTTTTCACTGCAGATCTGAGTCTCAAAGCGGTTTACAATTGTTAATTATGGGCACTTGTCTCTCACTCCACACAGAGATGGGAGCGGGGCCAGTACAGGAGGCGCATGCTAGAACTATTGGACATATTTTTAGTGGTAGGGGAAACCGGAGTACCCGGAGGAAACCTACGCAGACACGGGGAGAACATGCAAACTCCACTCAGAAAGGCCCTGGTCTGACCAGGATTCAAACCCAGGACCTTCTTGCTGAGAGGCGAGAGTGCTATCCACTCAGCCACCGTGCCGCCCTGGGAAGTGGGAAGACTACACTTTTGACGTTTGTGTTATCAACCGAATGTCAATCGCCCAAAATCTCAACAATAGTCACCTCGTGGGACAGAATTATTGATTCACCAACACCGATTAGAACATCAAACAAAAACTAAAACTTAAAGATACAATAAAAAAATAACAACATACAGTATTATGTCCACATAACAGGTTAGCTTAAGTCTAAATGTCCCTTCCTATATTATGTAAATACAAGTTTAAAATAGATTATATTGAGTTTTTTACTTCATGCATTGCCGAAATACAGAAATAACATAGATATCTGGATAAGTAATCAAAGCCTGTTCTAATGGCATGAGATGAAAGCGCCTAATGTACTTTTGATATGTTAATGTAAACTTCTGCTCTCATTGGTTCTTAGTGTGCTGTTTATTCAGCCAGAAACAAAGTACATTTGAGGCCAACATGACAATAACCAACACATTTTCAGATAAAAATTTACCAAATACAAATATATAATAAATTAGATTATTTTTTTCCTCTTGAAAAACTTACCAATTGTGGTCCTTCTGTGCACTGTCTGCCTGGGAGCAGTGCTTACCTGGAAATGAGCTCAAGAACTATCTAAAGGTGAGCTGGCATGAATAATGGATGGACAAGTTATCTAAGCATTCATTGGGTGAGCCAATTGTGGCACAGTGCTAGGCTACAGGAGCCCGGCCCGACCAAGATTACTGTTGTTGACATAGAAGCAGTTGCTATTGGTGACAGTCTCTCTCTCTGGATTAAGATTAATGGGACAAGGAGAGTTTTTATGTGTGATACTCTAGAATTCCAAAGCTTGTGTGCGCTCTTTTTATTTTCTCTTTTCTGTCTGAAAAAGCTGATTTACTGTAACGATGTGATAGGGCCAAAAATACATGCATTTGAAAACTAGTGATTGAACATTTGCTGTTGTTTGAATGATGGTACCCCAGCTTTAATTGAATAAATAATGATTACACTAAAACAATAATAAAAAAAATAATAATATATATATTCATATCTATTTATAATGAGTAGGGAACACGGTCACAGTGTAGTAATATTTTAATTAAGTACAATAATTTAATTGTCGCAGCCCAATCATTACACTTTCCTGAATACAAGTGGTTTCATTTAAAGTACAATTATTACTCCAATTTGTCTTCCGATACAAAAGGGTCGCATATGTTAGTCATAAGTATTTAAAGAAGGTGTTTATTGGAATTCTATCTATTGGTTGAATTTGTAATTGTTGATGAGAAATCTGAGCGGCAGTTTTGAGGCCATAGATTTGGTCATAGTCGATCATATAGCTGGGGCCCCTGCTGCACTGCTATCTGCCTGTCTGTATGGATTACCAGGAGCTGTTTAAAGATTCATGCCACAGGAAGAGTCCTCACAAACCTCTGTAGGACAGAATAATAATCTGTGTAGTGTTACGTACCTTTGGAGCCGGGATCGTTTACACTCATCCCATGGGGGACCGAGCTGGACAGACGATAGCTTTCCACTACAGAGCCGAGAGCCGGTGTCCACGATCAAATGAAAAATGCATAATGTCATAAACGTGATTTGTTATGAGACAAATACACTCAATATATACTGATATTATATTAAAATGGGGTAATTCGCTTTCAAACCACAACAAAATTAACTACTGTATGTAATACAGTCATCTAAATATTGAAGTTTCTCGCTCTCAAAACAATGTGTTTCTATCACTAGTTTTCATGTTTTAGACAGAAAAGTGAACACCCACCCACCCTCACTCAGCCTCCACCCAACTTGTCAATTGGTAACTCACAGCACTCTTTCTAACAAATATTCATTCATTCCATTCATTCATTTTCTACCCCTCTAATAGTCCATTCCTGGGTCGAGGCACTAGTCCCTCGCTGATCCTCTGCAGGTGGTGAGTCCACAAGAAGATGGCTGCTACGTCAGTGGCAGTGTTTTAGCGGGAGCTTCGGGCAAAGTGGGGTTAGGTGTCTTGCCCAAGGACACAACGATAGCAGACATTAGTGGGAGCAGTTGGAGTAGGTTCCGTGGTGGGCTCAAACCCATGACCTTCAGGCCCATTAGCCAATGCTCTACTAACTGAGCTACTGTCACCCCCACCACTGTTTTTACCAGAATCTTTTGGTTCGATCATGTATTACAATGAAAAAAGAAAGTGAGGTATCCTAGCTTTACCTTACTAAAACTTGCTGAATGATGAACCCTATAAGTTTGTTGGTAAATGTATAATTTTGTTTCATCAAGTGAACATAAAAAAGATGTTTGAAGCCAATACTTGATTCAAACATGTTCTCAGTGCATGAAGGTCAAAGACAGCTGAACTTATGCATAATTCCGAGAGTCACACGTTCACTAGGTCAAAAAGATCAATTTCTAATGAGAATTAAATATGTCCAAAGAAACTTGATGTGGCGTGCAAGTGTGAGCTTCAGTTTCTCACCCTGAAAACATGAACACTTTTTGCTTTGTTGGGCTGACTTGCCTTTGAGTTTGCATTCAAATCGGCATATATTTACGTTATCATGACAAGGCCTGGCTTACACTTAGCTCCGCCTCTTTCATCCTAAACATCACTTCAAATGGTCAGCCTGAATCCCAGCCCAGATTTCCCTGTCTGACCTTACGTGCTATAAATACTTTTAAAAAACGTCAAAAAGCCAGCCCCTTCTATAGAATTTCTTGACACCATTATGCTCCAAGCGTCCAATGCCAAGGCAGCGTCTAAGTCCAAGTCCCCGCAGACTACGGAACGTGAGGGAAATGCTAGTGGGGTCTATATTTACACTCTTGCCCCGTGGCCCCTGAGAGTATATAGTGTGTTACGGCATAGTGGACATGTCTGAGGGAGCAAGCACGCTGTCCAGTCCACTTAGAATACACCCAGGCCAGGGTCGTTCGGAATGAGCGGGCTGGAGCTCTTGTCAACATGGAAGCATTGACTTTATCCAATGGGTTTTTTCCAGGTACAAACGAGTGGAAATTGAAAGTATGCCCATTACATCATTGACCTGTTTTGGCCATTTCTATACACAATGAGACATGCTGTAGAATACATAATGGAAAAATGTGACGATGGACGCAACACACAGATAGGATGACAAAACATTTGATTTCTTCTGATTGTTTCATGGAACTTTTCCAATGGAGAGACATGTGACCAATATGTGGTTTGTGGTCTTAAAACGTTTTATATTGTCTGATTTATTTGCTCCTCGTGACTGGAATGGCTTTTTTGACGCGATTATACAAGATCACAGACAATGCTAGAATATTTTTAGACTTGTTAGCCAACCAATCCAACCGTCGTGCTGAGATTTCACATGATGTCATAAGGGACATGGAAACTTTGTCTTATAGCTTTGCTCAATACCAGATACTGACATCATTTATCCATCACTTTATATTTGTTCATTGCTGTAACATGAAACACACATATTTTATCTGTGATCTTTTGAACCAGAGTCAGATGCATCCATTTCCTACTCCGCTTGGCAAAACTTCTCAATCAATCATATCACTCCACTCTCGGCCCATTTTCTCAAACGCTTTACTCTTCTCTTTAAATGGCTCTTTATGCCCTGGCGCTCTGATGCACTTCTTAACCTTTGCACACGGGCCGTAAGCGATAGATTCGGTTTCCGCTCATGAATTGTGGATGTGGATCTTTGAGGAGGCGACCACACCTGGACAGAGGAATAACAAAAGCAAAATCTGCTTTCAATCAACTTGTGCCAGCAATGTAGGGATTGTGAAAAAGAAATTGGGGCTCTACTTTTATTTTACTCATTTGAACTGGTAATGTTGAAGTTTTTATGTTTCGAACATTACTATAGACCAGTATACTGTAGATCAGGGGGGAAACAGAAATGACAGACAGCTACTTTTTTTGTTGTCATGCTAAAACTGTAGTCTATTTAATAATTGGTAAAAATCATGGACAACACTCAGGTAAAATGTACCATATTGCTGTATAACCCTAGGTTAGAAAACATAATAATAACATGTATAGTTGAAATAGTTTCAATGACTCAAAATGTAAAAATCTAGGATCATGTGTCAAATTCTTGAATCCTTTGGGGAGGTACCTGAAAAGAATCACGCTACATGTTGGAGACCAATGCCATAGAAGATCCGGGTTCGTCTACTTTTTTTGTGTGGGAGTTATTGCTTTACTTAAAATCTAGTAGTCAGAGCTGCACCCAATCCACAGAGCACCAGCCCCTCACTGATCCTCCTGCAGGTGGTGAGTCCACAGGAGGATGGCTGATCTGTTAATGACAGTATGGCCTTGATCTTTCAGCGGGGGCTTAAGGCAAAGTGGGGTCAAGTGTCTTGCACAACGACAGCAGACATCAGTGGGAGTCGGTGGAGAAAGTCTCGTGGCGGGCTCAAACCCACAACCTTCAGGCTCAAAGGCCAATGCTCTACCAACTAAGCCACTGTCGGAATTAACTTTTGTGATCATGAAGATGTATGTATGTATTGCAAACAGAGTGTTTTAGTAACAAAACACTTTCATTCAGTAAATGAAAAATAGATATTTTAC